ATCTTACACTCTATACTTATCTGTATTTTCTGCTCATATGTGATATATATTATAGTAAATAGTAAAATCTTACACTCTATACTTATCTGTATTTTCTGCTCATATGTGATATATATTATAGTAAATAGTAAAATCTTACACTCTATACTTATCTGTATTTTCTGCTCATATCTGATATATATTATAGTAAACAGTAAAATCTTACACTCTATACTTATCTGTATTTTCAACTCATATGTGATATATATTATAATTTTTGGCTGCCTGATAGACTAATAATTATCTATTAGTGTTACTTGTTTCAAAGAAAGAATTATTAGAACACATCACGAACATGTTATCACTGATAATAAACTAGAAACATAAACAATTATTACTTTTAAGTTGCTTTACTAATAACCACTGCTTGCAAAGACAGTAAAGTTTTAAACAACACACGTACGGGGATCAGCAAGGGTGAAAGATCGAATTTATAAAAACAAAATCGATAAAATCGTTGACTTTCAATTTATGAACTTACAGAAAGCGCTAGATTTGTTTTATATGATTCACTGTTTTTCAAAGTTGTAATTACGAACATCTTTGCATATATGAGCATGGACGACAGACTGTGGGTGAAACTGTACCACATATAAAAATCAGAAAATGAAAAAAGTATGTAATGCAAGTTAAATATGGAGTAAAAACTATAGAACTAATGAATTAGTGAAATGTTTTATACATAAAGTGACGGATAATTATAAAAGTATGCAAGGTGAATTATTGGCTATAATATTTGCCTCGCTCAAATAATGGCTAATATGTATGATAAAACTGACATATATAATACACTGTATTATAACACCTGTCTCATCAAAATAATGGTTTTACTTTTAACTTTTAGGACACGTAATTAAATATAGATATTGATGACGTAATCTCATGTTGAGATACCCTACGATGAGTTCACCAACCTATTGAACTATCCGCCTAGTAACACCATCCACCTATACAAACACCACCCTTAATAAAACTATCCACCTATAAAACACTTTTGTAAAGCGTGTTTAACGTTTTACTCATAAAGCGAAACTGTAAATGTGATAGAAACTTTTCAGTGCTGATAACTGTAAGCACAACGTTATGTAAATTAGATTAATTTATTAATTTTAATACTTTGTTACTATAAAGTTGATATCTATTGATCTACATTACCCTTTGGTGGTTCCCTCGCGAACTATCTGCACGCTCATCATACCAACGCGCCTTCTGGTGAATCATACTCGTACTATGATGTCACCTACCCTAGCAACATGTTCCTGACAACACGTCCTCTGATAAGTAGCACTCAAACTAGAGGTCTTTTGTATATTACGTAAGAGTTATATAACCCTCTAGTGCAGCGTATCCCAAACTATGGGTCGCGACCCACTGGTGGGTCGCAAGCGGAATGTTAGTGGGTCGTAAAAAGTTATACTAGAATTACGCATTAGCTTCAATTAAACGCTGTCTGTCGAGATAGTTCAAGACTCGGGCTTTCATTGCCAGGCTGTTGTTGTATCAAGCAGTATGTTGTTTTGACGAGATTAACGACTCAGGGTTGATCATGCTCTCAATTTAATCATTCGTCATCGTAAAAAGGAAATCAATTTTCCCCTATTCA